AAGAGCAACACTCCGTCTCAAAAAAAAAAAAAAAGTATGTTTTCAAACTTAAGTGCCTAGTGAAGTGCTCAGAATGCAGTAGCTTCCCCAGGGCCTCTGTCTGCTCTTCCATCCTGGGAACAGCAGCAGCAGCAGCAAACATTCAAGGCCCCTCACTCACCATGCCTCAAACTGCATGGGGAGATGTTGAGAGGGAGCCACCAAGGCAGGAGGAGCCAGCAGCAGGCAGGGGCTTGGGCCACGTGGCCACAGGCGAGCTGCTCAGCCTCTTGGCTTTGGTGCCTGCCTCTTGGAACACTGAGGGGATAAACTGGATACCAATAAATGTTACATAGCTAAGTGAGGTACCGTAGGGCAAGCAGAGGGGGCGACAGCACAGCCCTATAAGTGCAATCACCATGCCGTCTGTGGGCTGGGAGGTCCTTGAGGAGGCCCCGTGGACTGGGAACGGCTGGCACGGGTCAGCACTGCTGGGCAAAGGGGCTGATGCAAGCCTGATCTGCCTGCTCCGGGCCCTGTGCTCTCAGCGACCAAGATTGCACGATCATGCCTGTTCCTCTGAGCCGCTAGCTAGCATGGTTGGGGCTTAACCCTAAGACAAAGGCAACACTTAAGCTGTTTTTACAACAGAACTTTGTCAAAAGTTTTGGAAAGCACAAAAAGGTTTTTCACCAAAAACTAAAACAAAAAATCCCACCACAAAAAGCCAACCCAAGCTCTGGAGTGACAGAAACAGGGGTCTAGATCGTGGCTTCCCCATGCACAGGACGTGGGTATTTAACCTCCGTCCTCCATCTCCTGGTGGGGACAAAACAGTGGGGCTCCTACCGGCCTGTGGCACTGTCCTGAGATTGAGCTGAGGTGTGTGTGGAAAGCACCTGGCCTCTCCCAGATGGTGAGCTTCACACACGCGCCAGTGGCAGCCCTAACTGCTCCTGACACTCCTGGGGCCCTAACTGCTCCCCGTCACTCCTGGGGCCCTAACTGCTCCCCGACGCTCCTGGGGCCCTAACTGCTCCCCGATGCTCCTGGGGCCCTAACTGCTCCCGTCACTTGTTGGGGGCCCTTCAGTCTGTGTCTCAGTTTAGTCCCAAGAGTGTGGCTACTGCAGAGTGCTGTGGGAGCAGCAGATCCAGCACCTGGCCTGGGTCCTGGGTCCTATAACGAAGCCTGGCTGTGCTGTGAGGTCGACCAGATGAGCTGCCCACCTGCTCTCCAGCACACCCACTGCAGGATGAAGGGGCCAGAGCAGACAGGAAGCTCCTTTCTGGCCCTTACTTCTATGTTATGATTCTTGCCAAATGCTGCCACCTCCATGAAACATTTCCTTCTTAGATTGTAAAACCTCAAGAGATACGATGGAAAAGGCCATCTTTGGATGAAGTCCTCCCTTCTCCACTCTCAAAACTGCTTGCCCTTGGCCAGCAGCCTTAAAGAGTGCCCAAGACTAGGCTCCATGACAAGGCGACAGAGCTGGGGCACAGGCTAACATGAACCATGAGTTCAGCTCCCTCTAACGGCAGCAGCTAGGCAGGGGCCACAACAGTCTCACCAGGGCCTCTGAAAGCACCAGGACACAAGGCATGACCCTCTCAAGTGGCCCCTGGACTCTAGGACTTCATTCTACCAGGAAAGAGCTAAGCATGACTTACATTAACACAAGCATCATGAATGTGAACCGAGGAGGGAAGGACATGAAAAGCCAGAGGTAGGATGTTTCTACATTTTTAAATACACTTTTCTACATTTAGATGTCACAGATACTTAGACTGCACTGACTTGACAGATACACAGACTAACTGTGCCACAAAGCACTTGTTTCAAATGACTTGTTACTAAAAATGCTTTCAAAACATATAGTAGGCCAGGCGCGGTAGCTCACATCTGTAATCCCAGCACTTAGGGAGGCCAAAGAGGGTGGATCACCAGAGGTCAGGAGTTTGAGACCAGCCTGGCCAACATGGTGAAACCCCATCTCTATTAGAAATATAAAAACTAGCCGGGCGTGGTGGCATCTGCCTGCAATCCCAGCTACTCAGGAGGCTGAGGCAGGAGAATCCCCGGAACCCGGGAGGCAGAGGCTGCAGTGAGCGGAGGTTGTGCCACTGCACTCCAGCCTGGGGGACAGGGCAAGACTCTATCTCAAAAAAATATATGTATGTGTATAATAGAAGCACCTCCCACTGCCCCGTGTCCATCCATCCAGTCCTGCCCCATCCCAGCTTCCCCAGAGACCCCTCCCTCTAACTGGCCCTCACCTTGTGAGTCATCAGCAACTTAAAGACACTGGAGAGAAGGCTGGACACATGAAGCTGGAAAAACAAAATAAAGGTTAATGCAGACCACAGAGCCTTCCAAAACTGCTACTTTCCCGACACCCACACATTCTCATCCCCGGCATCCCACCCTGCTCTCCCACCAGGGCACACATACACCAGTGAGCGCAAAAGGGACCCTCTGACAAATTAGGAAAGGGCTACTCCAACACAAGCCCAGCTCCCACCGCAGGACTCAGTCACAGAGGCCTTCAGAGGACAAGGCTTTGAGCCATGTCCACCCCAACCAGCAGCAACCACAAAAAATCACACCTGCCTGTAATTCTGGCACTTTGGGAGGTAGACACAGGCAGATCACCTGAGGTCAGGAGTTTGGCCAGCCTAGCCAACATGGTGAAACTCCATCTCTACGGAAACTACAACAATTTGCCAGGCTGGTGGCAGGCACCTGTAATCCCAGCTACTCAGGAGGCTGAGGCAGGAGAATCACTTAAACCCAGGAGGTGGAGGTTGCAGTGAGTAAGATTTCACCACTACACTCCAATCTGGGTGACAGAGCAAGACTCCATCTCAAAAATATTTTTAAAAAGGGCAGGCGTGGTGGCTCATGCCTGTAATCCCAGCACTTTGAGAGGCCGAGGCGGGCAGATCATGAAGTCAAGAGATTGAGACCACCCTGGCCAACATGGTAAAACCCCATCTCTACTAAAAAATACAAAAATTAGCTAGGTGTGGTGGTGCATGCCTGTAGTCCCAGCTACTGAAGAGGCTGAGATAGGAGAACCACTTGAACCCAGGAGGTGGAGGTTACAGTGAGCCAAGATCGCGCCACTGCACTGCAGCCTGGGGACAGAGCAAGATTCCATCAAATTAATTTTAAAATTAAATTTAAAAAAAAAACACCTGGATAGACTAGATCAGCAGGGCCAGTGTACCAGTGGCCATTCCTTGTCTGACTCATTCCTGCTAATGTGGCCACGAACTTGGGGAGAGAACAGTCACGTTTGCTAGCAGGCTCTGGCTTGGGTTTAAATAAGGGACATGCACATTGGACACATCATTTGGCTGCTTGGAGACCACAGTCCTCACTCTCTGTGTGCTTGGCTGTCCCCAAGTGAACAGCTACCTCTGGATGAGGAAGGAGTTGCAGCCCCATAAACGTCAGTGGACAAGGAGGCACCCTTGAGCGCCAGGAGCTTCATTGGACCTCCTCATGCCTGGAAGATGTGAGGTGTTCTTTTTCTGCTTTAAAACTCACACTCTGCATAAAGAGGTCTCCCTTAGACCCAGGATTTGCTCTGCCCCAGGGCCAGGCATGGACACCCCAGCCCCTGTCCACAAGTGATCTGCCCACCTTTTCCAGGGTGATGGTGTTCTTCCTGGCCTGGGTCACCAGCGTTGCCATCTCAGTTTTGAACCCCTCCACATCCCTGCACTCGCTTGCCCGGGCATGATGCAGGATGAGCTCAGCCACTCTCTGGCCCTGGAAGAGCAACAGAAAAGGGACTTGGAGTGGAGCGAGCATAAACCTGAATGCACCGCCCAAGTGTCTTCTCATCTCAGCACACTTTACCCTGACTTTTCTGCCATCTTGCTTTCGGCTCTTCCTCCTTGGACTGTGACTTTTTCCTTTTGCCCAAACCTATACAGAGGAATGCCCCACCCCCACTGCACTGCTCCTCAGCGTTTAACCTTGGCCCAGGGGACATTTTCAAACCAGCTTAAGGCCCCAGCTTTGCATTTGCCTTCTTGGAGGTAGAGACTGCCCTGCATTTTGCTATTTTATTTTATTTCTGAGACGGAGTTTCACTCTGTTTCCCAGGCTGGAGTGCAGTGGCGTGATCTCGGCTCACTGTAACCTCTGTCTCTAGGGTTCAAGCAATTCTCTGCCTCAGCCTCCTGAGTAGCTGGGATTACAGGTGCCCGCCACCACACCTGGCTAATTTTTGCAGTTTTAGTAGAGACGAGGTTTCGCCATGTTGGCCAGGCTGGTCTTGAACTCCTGACCTCAAGTGATCTGCCTGCCTCGGCCTCCCAAAGTGCTGGGATTACAGGTGTGAGCCACCGCGTCTGGCTGCATTTTGCTGTTTTAAATTTTAAAAAAAGGGCCAGATGTGGTGGCTCACACCTGTAATCCCAGCAGTTTGGGAGCCCAAGGCAGGCAGATCACCTGAGGTCAGGAGTTCAAGACCAGCCTGGCCAAAATGGTGAAACCCCGTCTCTACTAAAAAATACAAAAATTAGCCGAGTGTGGCGGGGGATGCCTGTAATCCCAGCTACTTGAAAGGCTGAGACAGGAAACACGCTCTTTTGCCCAGGCTGGAGTGAAGTGGTACCATCTTGGCTCGCCACAACCTCCACCCCCACGGGATTCGAGCGATTCTCCTGCCTCAGCCTTCCAAGTAGCTGGGATTACAGGCACATGCCACCACGCCCAGCTAATTTTTTTTTTTTTTTTTTT